TTAATTTTTTTTTTTTTTTTTTTTTTTTTTTTTTTTACACACTATTTTTGTCCTTTTTTTCAGGAAGGTCAATAGGGACAACATTGTAATTTTAGACTCATTGAATTACATAAAAGGTATATGTCAAGAGTTACACAAGTTGTGCGAATTCTCATTTTAAGCACTGTGATGTAACCTATTAACATGTCTCACAGGTTACCGCTACGAATTGTTCTGTCTGACTAAGCATGCGCAGACGCCGCACTGCCTGGTAAGAATGCGGGTGGGGGGAAAAAAAATAACCTATGGATTATAATGACATGCGTCGGTGTAACTAATACTGGGGGTATTTTGATGAAGGTGCACTGTTTGACATCAAGTGAAGAAAGCTCATTGTGGAACAAAAACAGAGAAGCTGCAGAGCAATACAGCCAGGACATGTGAGTAAGAAGTTTCTACACAATGAATTAATAACAGTGATGATTAATTTGTTACATTAAAGTGTCATTTTCTTTGTGCTTTGGGTTTATTTTTAGCTTTGACGCACTAGTTCAGAGGTTTGAAGCACCAGACTCCAGGAACAGATGGGACAGTCCTCTCTTCACTGTCCTCAAAGACGACGTTCCTCCTCTTGAAGCCGTTTCTGACGCGCTTTTTAAGAGAAAAGCCCCCCCGCCTAATCAGTCCACCCAGAGCGTAAGGAAATTCACAAAAGCCATATTGTTTGATGCGATGTGTGTAATCGCTCTGAGAGTAACAAAGTGGATTTCTTTCCTTTTTTTTTTCGCTCACAGCAACCCCTCTCCTCAACAAACTTCCTGTATGAGTTGGACAAAATCACACAGGATGTTTTAATGGTACGTCCTCCTTTATATTTCTGTCAATTTTTATTTTATTTTTTTTCGGTGGGTCTGACGTTCTACCAGTTTGAGATTGACTCATAATTTAGGAAACATCTTTAAAGCAAGTCTTAAAGACTCAAGCAGACTTGTAGACTATGACAGATTATCATTTCCTGTGCTTCAGACCAAGCAAGCTGATAATATCAATTTGTTGCCTGAGAGTAATTATCTTTATAAAGCACCAAACAGAATTAATACACAATTATTTCTCTATCTTTGGATGAGCTCATTTTTAAATGATAAAAAAAAGCTTCCTGTATGGCAATTTTTTTATTTTTTTTTTAGTTACTGTTCCTTTATAGTTTTTATTATAGTCAATCATCATTCAGTTATCGTTATTGTTGTTATTATTGTTCAGTTATCTATTTTCTCCCCACTGTGCTGTTTAATAAAGGCAATACAAATCTTTCAGGCAATTTTTAACGCCCAGAAAACAAGTGTCCCTGGAGACCTCGTCTCAGTTCCAGGAGCTACAGAAAAGATATCCTTTATGCTTCGAACCAAGGGTGACGTTTGTTTTTTTTTTTTTTCTGACTGCTGTGACGTCTCACTTCCAGGTAAGTTTAATTGCGCAACGTCGGTGGGTTCATTTAATATTCTCGTCTGATGAAGGAAGTCACATTTGCTTGCAGATGGGGAGGCAAAGGCCTCATCATCAAAGACCCCATAAACACTCCTGAGCTGAAGGCAGAGCAGCAAGCCAAGGTAAAGGTCTCATCTGTAATAAAATGCTGAGAGACGTGACTGGTGGGAAGCAACCAAATGCTCCCGGTGGCTTCTCTGTGACGCTCCTTCTCAGAAGCAAACACTTTGATTATTTCTTCACCTTTGAACACGTCCGTCCGAGCAGGAGCTGATTTAAAAGCTCTGTGTTGGTCTGCCTTCAGTGATGGGTGCATAATTGAAGTTCCACATTACGTCAGTGGCGTATTTGCTGTGTGGTCGTGTAGCTTTCATGTGGGTTGCTTTAGAAACACAAACTTTCTGTCTGGTTTCTCTGAACAACTTTATGTCCTTAACCCATAAATGAAACGTGGAGCTGACCAGGACCGTCAACATGGCCGAGCTGAGGAAACTACGGCGCCAGTTCATCAGTTACAGCAAGATGCACCCGACGGAGAAAACGGGGCAGATTGCCAACATGTTTGTTCAGTATTTAAATAAGGGTCTTCATTAAATTAAAGAGCTGGATGGGTTTTTTTTTCTGCTTCTTGACAAGTGCAGATGTTTAAATGTATTGCTGTATCGTCTTTATCTTTTTTTTTATTTTTTTTTTTTAATTAAAATAAGGTAGAAATTGATTTGAGTACTTCTGTTTATTAAATGAAAGTGCAAAATTTAGCTATAAAAGCGAATTATCTGCTATATCTAGACGATTGGAGAGGCTGGGGGTAAATACTTCACATACATAATTAATATAATTGCATGATTATGAATGCATGAAACAAGTATGAGGGGTGTCTCATATGCCATGTCTATACTAGATAGACATGGCATTTACAGTTTCCTATATGTAATTATATATTGAGTCACATCAATTATAATTTTGAACTATTTGTGTCAGAAATCTCTTCATTAACGGGATTCATGAGCAAAATCTTCCTGAATAAAATTCCTTCAACATTTGAGTCTTTGTGTAAGAAGATTGTCTCAGGATCAATAAACAAGACAGATTTTAACTGTTTCTCTTTTGGATATTAAATATAATGTGCAAACACTACATCAGGTTTCAATAAATTATATCCCATGCGTCTGCTTTATAAATAGGTGTTTATTGAACAAAAGCTGAAACATTTAAATATTTTTACAAGTTCAGTGCATTTTTTAAAATGCTAATAATGCAAGAAGTATAGCAGCAAAATAAAGAGACTTAACAAAACAACATATTTATAAAAGAGGCAGTATTTACAGAATTGTGTTAATTATTGTTGTGTCTTAATCAACTTTTTTCTTCTTCAGAGACACGGCAGTGCCGAAGATCCGGTCCCAGTGGCTGAAGAAGGGAGCGTAGTTGCTGCTGGGCTTCTGGTGGTGCAAGTCGTGGGCCGGGGCCCCCCCCAGCAGACCGAAGGGCACCAGGTGGTTCAGGGTCCAGGGCAGGTCGTAGCCTATGTGGTCCTCCACGGACATCCAGATGCTCAGAACTGTGATGCACCATGTGCTCAGTGGGTGACACCTCAAAAGAATCGGGTCCAGGTTGCTCCAGAAGCCCACGGTCATCAGTTCTGGAATGCTGAGCTGCTCCGTGGACCAGGAGAATGGAGCCATGTACTCATGGTGGACTGCATGCACCCAGCGGTACAGCTGCAGGTTCTTGTGGTGCACAAAGTGCCAGATGAAGTACTGGGTGTCAAAGAGGAGCAGTATAGCCAGTCCTTCGGTGAACAACTGGTATAACGTAGGAGCATCTCGCGGCAGCGTTGGTGTTGGCAGTATGAACATGCCGATTATGACAGCCGGTAAAACAAAAAAAATGTGGTTATAGAGAGATGTCATGAAGCTCTTGGCCATCATTCCCAGCGTTGGCCTCCTGTCTTGCTGGATCTTATACTTGTGGAACAAAGGGACCCTTTCCCCCAAGAGGTCCAACACAGCAAAGGGCAAACTAAAGCAAAAGTAGCTGGAGAAGGCAAGGATGACGGGCAAAAAGGGAGACGAGACGAGAGACAGGTGGTGAAGAAGCAGATGGTCCCAGAAGGGCTGCAGGAGACGGTCGGACGCCCTGAAATGAGGGGACCTCAGAGAGAGCTCGCTGATGTTCAGCATCTTTCTGTTTGGGTCTGCTGCTGCTGCTGCTGCTGCTGATCGAGATGAGATCTGGCTTTATATAGTGGAGATCAACAAACAGGACTTTGCTCTCAGCCAAAAAAAAAAAAAGAAACGCCTTCTTTTCTCCTCACAAGAGCTCAACGTGTGCCAAAACATACCTACGTGAGCTTACCAAGCACGTTCATTAGACACAAGAAACAATGAGCTTCAGATTAGGTTTAATCCAGCATAAATAGAAGACAGATCAAGAGTGTTCGTTTTAACTTTTTCATGCATGAATTATGATCCTTTATGTCAGGATTTTTTTTCAAAAATGTTATTGATTTTCTTAATACATAAAAAAAGTAGGAATTTATTTATTTATTTATTTTTTTTTTTACAAACGTTATTTGAAAAATACATCAGCAGTATTGTTCTTTAGGGGTTATCTGATGTCACAATATTTTTTTTCCTGCAAGAGTCATCTACAGTAGAAGAAGGAACCGGGTCAGTTGATGTGCTTTTTTGTCTGTTGGCAATATTGGATTTAACAAAAATAATTTCTTGCATTTGCAGCTGATGGCCAGTAGTTGATAGTGTATTTCATGATGCATTAGTGTCCACTTCAGTGGTCTGTTTGCATTTATAACATAAAAATTCACAAGAAGCACAAGAGAATTGCTTTTACTTTGCTGTCCACTGTAGTGACCACAATGCATGAAAAGGTTAATCCCATCAAAATCACTGTTTACACATTTTTATATCTGTCTTGAACAGATATTTGCAGAAATGCTGATTGGTGTCGATTCGTTTTGAAATTGACACATTGATGTATTTTAATGCAATGATCTGAAAACAGGACAGCACACTGTACCGAGAATTCCTCCATATTAGCTTGGAGGAATGCAACACATTCCTCCCAACGGAACAGCATGAACCCATTCCTGTTGGTGGGTTTCCTGAAATGTGCTGTTTGCTTTCGCAGTTTCTCTGAGATTAGGGTCAGCTCTTTGA